AACCAAAATTATATCAAATATATAAATTTTAACACGGGTCGAGACCCTTGGCCCTAAGGGAGCTCCGTCCCTCGGTTTATCACCTACAAATTCTCAAGATTTTAATATTCAGTTGACAAACATAATTAATTTTAAATTACCAATCATAAATCATAGAGAAAATCGAACTCTTATCTAATTCAATGCATGGAATGTTGGAATGTCCAAAAGTCTTATTTTGTTTGATTGAGATTACTTAATATTAATATTGTCCAAAGGACTCTCCTTTACGAAGCACCGAACACAACATCTTCGATCTTTAACACGAGCAAAAACAAAGCAAAAATGTCTGCCCCCACATTCATCTTATCGATCCTTCTTCTTCTTCAGCTCCTCTCTGCCTCACCGACTTCCGCCGCGGACGACAGTTGGCAACTTCTACAGAAAAGCATTGGCATCTCCGCCATGCATAAGCAACTCCTCAGAAACGACCGCGTCATCATGTTCGATAGAACCGATTTCGGGCCATCGAATTTGTTACTCCCCAACGGGAAATGCCTCAATGATCCAACTGACACCGCGCTCCAACTCGACTGCACCGCTCATTTAGTGGCAACAAATTCAGGCCCCTCACCGTCCAAACCGACGTCTGGTGCTCCTCGGGCAACATCATGCCAGACGGTAACTTGGTCCAAACCGGTTGTTTCAACGACGGTGAACGGAGGGTCAAGGTTTTAACATTAAGTTTGTCTCTATTTAGTATAAGAATCATGTTAAAAATAGAGAAAAACTTATGTTTGTCTCTATTTACTATAAGAATTGGTTTCAAAGTTAATGTTTGTCTCTATTTTAACATGATTCTTATAGTAAATAGAGACAAACTTAATGTTAAAATATAAGAATCATGTTGAGTTTTAAGTCGGATACAACTTCTCTAAATCCAAATCGAATTGAGTGACATGTGAACGGATATAACAAGTATTATTTTACTCTCATTTTAATGTTAAAATATAACAAGAATGTTTTTTTGGTTTTAAGACATCTCTTCACTAATCCACATTGACCCGCGTCACACACCTAACTTTGATGAGTGAATCCTCCAATAAAAATTTTCTGCATATATAAGAAATTGAACTCGAGATATACTTATTATTTTATTCTCAAATTACAATTCTTTTTTTTTTCGAATATTTAACAAACAACAACCCTTTAGCACAAATCACAAATATTATTTTAGAAATTTAAATGAATGTTTCTTCTTCTTTTTAGTTTACGATAACTTGATCCAAATGCCTTGACTAGGAATGCCTTGATGAACTACGAACAAAAGGTAAAACCCCGACGGCGCTAGATTTCCCGAACGTGGCGTCGTGGCATCAACGTTGTACACTGAGTTCCCCATAGCCGTCACCTTGTCGTTCTCGAGAACAAGAAGCCTTTGATTCATTGAAAATGAATGTGTGTTGAAAGCTGGTGCAAATAGTGTCACCGACACCGAGTTTTCATCCACTGTGCCACCTGGAACCACCACTTGGATCGTATATCTCTTCCTGTATCTCATCCCCGACATTGATTTTGGAGCAACGATCTTTGGTCTCTGGTTGTCGAATTTAGCGTCCATGTACGCCGGAGAGAATGCCTCCAAGCTTAGTTCGGTCGGAAAAAGTACGTTGGTAAAGTTGTAAAACGCATGAGGATTGCTTCCGCCGACTAAAATTCTTCCATCACGGAGTAATGCCGCCGTGGAATGGTACATCCGAGGAACGGTGGTTGGGTTTGTACTTCGAATCGTGAGCCGATTGAGTTGTCGGGTCGGTACAAGAAGGGGCTCAAAACGGGGTCTCGACCCTGTTCCCATCCGGCTGAGCCGGACCCGGCTCCATTGATGACCAAAACGTTGCCGTCGGGAAGCAAGATCATGTCACCCATGACCCTAGCCAAAGGCATAGTCTCCATGACCCATTGTGGGTTCGGGTCGGTTATGGTGATCCGTGCACATGTATCCAATGCTTTCATGAAAACACGCTTTAAAGATTGAAGGTAAGCTCCTTTAGGAGCGCCGCCGCAAACCAGAACTTCAGCTTCAATGGCCGAAGCTTTCAAGTTCTTCAAAGGAAGCAACACGGCAGAGCCGGTGCTGGGATAGCTTCGAGGCTCACCGCCGGGGATTGTGGGATACGTTCTGACGACTTTGTTGTTGACATAATCGAACAAGATAGCTCTATTGTTCGCAAAAATGAATAAGTTCCCATCAACGTTGAGGAAAACGAAAGGGTACAGATTGTTCTCCACTCCCTTGTCGTTTGTTTCCGACAAGAAAGGCAAATTTATCTTATTAGCCACGACGATTTTCGGGATGAACTCGTAGTTAAACTGTCCCCGACCGCCGACGATGATTTGTCGTCCGTCAGGTAATAAATGGTTAGTGGCGTACCATCTTTTCACCGTCAATCCATTTGGTATTTCATTCCAATCGCAGGTCCTACACGGGCTGAAAACCCTGACCCTCCGTTCACCGTCGTTGAAACCACCGGTTTGGACCAAGTTACCGTCGGCCATGATGCTGCCCGAGGAGCACCAGACGTCGGTTTGGACGGTGAGGGGCCTGAATTTGTTTCCACTAAATGAGCGGTGCAGTCGAGTTGGAGCGCGGTGTCAGTTGGATCATTGAGGCATTTCCCGTTGGGGAGTAACAAATTCGATGGCCCGAAATCGGTTCTATCGAACATGATGACGCGGTCGTTTCTGAGGAGTTGCATATGCATGGCGGAGATGCCGATGCTTTTCTGTAGAAGTTGCCAACTGCCGCCCGCGGCGCAAGTCGGTGAGGCAAAGAAGAGCTGAAGAAGAAGAAGGGTCGATAAGATGAATGTGGGGGCCGACATTTTTGCTTTGTTGTTGCTTGTGTTAACGATCGAAGCTGTTGTGTTCTGTCCCATTTATACTGCCTCTTAAAGGACGCTAGTTTTGTCCTATTAAATAAAAAATTGTATTTATGGTTCATGAATAATTAAAATGTTAGGTACAAACTATCAATAAATTATTGGTTCGAATCTTAATATTATAAATGTCAACGTAATTGATTTAAGTGAAAAATAATTTAATATTGTTTAAACAATTATTCAGGTTCGATTCTTTCTGTATGTAGAAAATCCATACCGAAATACTCATCCACTGTGCGAGACAATCTAAATTAGTCATGGTGAAACCTTAAAATCGGGAGTAGAATGAAAAATTAAATTAAAATTATTATTTTTGAAATAATTTTTTATAATATTTAATTTAAATTATTTGATTTTAATATTTATAGTGATAATATTAGTTATATTTACATCTCAACATTATTTTGTATTTTTTATTTCAAATTATTTATATAATATTAATATCAATAATGTATTTACATCTCTATCGATTTCATGATTTATGATTTATAATTTAAAATTAATTATTTTTTTCAACTAAAATATTTAAAATAAATAATTTCTTTTTTTTTGATGAACCAACCAAATAAATATTCTCTCCAGATATTAAGGTGTGGTTTTTTAATTGGCTTTTGTTATTTTTGACTTGGAATCGGATGTAATCTTTTAAAAATTAAAACAATATTTTATGCTATTAATTGAAAATTAAAACGATAATTTTTTTAGTTGTCTTCCGATTCTAAGTTTTTACTCTAATTATTTTGGACCGACTTAGATCGCACCCGTGACTTTGATGAATGATTCTCATCATCACTACATGTCTTTGGTATACATATATCATATACTATTTATAATCAAGATATTAAATTGGTTAATAGTTAGTGCTTGCTATTAGCGTGACAATTTTTATATGTCTAAAGTGATGATGCATTATGTGACTCATCGCCACTTATGTACACGTGAGCATGTGAACATAATCTTCTATATACATATGACATATACCATGTTATCACTTATGTATTTGTAGTAATGTATCACGTGTCATATCATTACTTTAAACACATGACATATGTCACGTTATTATTTATGTACATGTGACATTTACCATATCATCACTTTGGATATATGACTTACTGCATCAATGACAAGAGTTGGTCGTTAATCAACAAATAATTTTTATTTTATTAAAAACTAAAATGGCTATTCAATCATATTAAAGACATCCTTTTATCATTATATTAAAGGTAAATTATATAAATGGTTCTTCGACTGTATGATACTTTTTATTGAGTTCTTTGACTATAAAATGTTATAAAATGATCACCCGACTACTCATTATGTTCTAAACTCGTTAAAAAATTGAAGATCGTCTTAGTTGAATGTTAACATGTAATTATTTGAGATTTTAAGATCATATTTTATCATATCACAACCAATAGGTTAACGTTCAACTCATAATGTCGTAATTTTATTAATGAAAAAGATGAGTTTGGAACATAATGAATAGTTGGGTGACCGTTTTGTGACTTTTAATAGTCAAGAGACTTAACAAAGCAATACTCTATAATCAAATGATTATTTATAATTTTTAATAGTCGAATGATATAATAAAACAATATCTTATAGTCAGAAATCATTTGTATTTATTAAAATGCTACTTATTCAAATTTAACATAACCTATCAATAAGGTAGAAGGAACCCAAAATTTAACCATGATTGATTTTATTAAAATATGTTCTCAAAATGATAATTGTCTTAAACTCACAAAAGAAAGTCATTTTTTTTATAGAAGTGTATAATTTTTAATGATAATAGTACAAAATATTTTAAAAAAATCCGACCCGATCATAATTCATCAGGTTCGAATCTCATACCCATCTATAGTTAAAAGATCATTTTATAAATTTTAATAATTGGATAACTCAACATAACATCAGCTTATAGTTAAGATACCATTTGTGAATTTTACCCTGATATTTTTTACTAAAAAGATATAAATTAAAAGTTCCTCGAATAAAAGGACCGAATCAGAATTAAACCAAAATAAAACAGCATTTTGTTCTGTCTCAATAAATCAAAGCTTAAAGCTACTGTCTTTGTTCTTTTTCTCACTAAGTGGCGGCTCTCTAAAGCTTTTGCCTCAGTCCCTCTCTCTAAATTCTATTCCTTTCTTTGACAAAAACCCTAATTTGGAAACATATTTGATAGATTTCCATTTTTATTCTTTGTTCTTGTATATTTAAAGTATCAATATAATGGAAGCTTCAGCTGGGATAAAATCCAAATGCTCGGAGTTCACTCTGGCAGCAGTTTCCGAACTGTCTTCTTCACCTGCTTCGTCATCGTCCACGCCAGTGACTGCTTGGTTCAGTTCTGATCGTGGAGTCGCAGAGCTCCGATTTTGTCAAGATTCAAAATTTATCGATGGCTTCAGTTTCGACCTTGGAACCTCTCAGGTATGAGAAACAGAGTGTTGTTTGGTTCTCGAGAAAATGGTAATGCGCTGTTAAGGTAAAGAAAGGGGGTGATAAATATTGGTTTAGCAAAGGACTAAGTTTTTTTTTTCTGGCATTGATGACGTGCTAAGGCATTGAATTTGTTTCAAATTGCTAGTTTTTGCATATTGGGATGTTTATTAAGCTTAGTGAAGTGAAATTGGGCTTTCGATTATTGAAGTTTACAACTTTGAATTAAAGCTTTTAGTTGCAGACTGCTATGGTGATTGTAATATGGTTGAAGTTCATTATTTTTTATTGTTTTCAGCTCTTCAAGTTGGGACCTGTTCAATCGCTTTGCATTTCCGAAAATTCTGATTGTATCAAAGAGGTAATAATATCAGTTCAACAATTGCCTTGTGTTCGTGAAATCGAAAAAATAGAAGGAATGCATATGTTTCGTTGTTTTTAATTTCGAGTTCATGGTAAATTGCTGGAGAGTTGTTAAATGTGTTTGCGTGTGTCTGTGTGTGTTGTGGGGGAGGTGATTGAAAATTCTGCTTACTTGTATGATTTTAAATTGTCGAATATTACATATTTTTTGTGGTATTTCTTTTGAACCAGAATTTGTATTCGAGGGGAGTCACGATTGAGTTTAGAAACGAGGAGGAGAGCAGGGACTTCCATTCTGCATTTGAGCAATGGCAGAATGAAGATGTCACTCAAGGTTCTGGTTTTCGAGATGGATCAAGCAAGTACAAATTTTATGCTATATAGGCTTTTATTTGATCCTGATTATTTTTTCCTTCTCATACAGGAAAAAGTTTACCAAATGGAACCATTTCTGCTGTTAGGAGCAAGTTTGACAATAAAATCGAATCATCTTCTGCTAAAATGTATTTCCATTATTATGGACAGTTGCTGCACCAACAAAATATGTTACAAGATTATGTGAGGACAGGTTATATCACGGAACTACGTTTCATTGTTTCCTTTTCTTTTATGTCATAGGTCAATTTGAATTTTGTAGACAATGCTAACAACATAAGTACTGCTTTGAGATTCTATGCCATATGTATGATCAACATACAAGCGAAATTTGTCAAACCATAACTTGAACTATAGGTCAATAATTTCATATGCTGATCATTATTTAACTGTTTTTTTTCTCTCTAGGAACCTATTATGCTGCTGTAATTGAGAACCGTGTAGATTTTACGGGTAGGGTGGTGGTTGATGTTGGTGCTGGTAGTGGTATTTTGTCATTGTTCGCTGCACAGGTAATCTCAATCTTTGGTCTGTTTTGACCTCATATTTGGTAATCTCAATCTTTTGGTCTGTTTTGACCTCATATTTGCTCTTACTTTTCCCGTGGTTTGTAGACTGATGCCCAAATTCCTTTTATTTCCCTTTTAGGCTGGTGCAAAGCATGTTTATGCTGTTGAAGCTTCTGAAATGGCAGAATACGCTCGCAAACTTATTGCCGGGAATCCCACATTAGGGCAGCGGATTACTGTATGCGTTTTTCCTTTCATTTTGTTGTGATTCTCCATTGTTTCAGACTAATCTGTTTTCTTGTTTGCTCGGTTATAAAATGTCATGTTAATATGTAGGTAATCAAAGGTAAAGTTGAGGAAGTTGAGTTGCCCGAGAAAGCAGATATTCTGATCTCTGAACCAATGGGTATGTTGGTGTGCGAGGCTTTGCTTTTGTCGTTATGTTTGCAATGAAAATCTCATGACACTGATGCTTCACTAATCCTTGCTTCCATGCTTTATTCCATGGAGATGACCTTTTTTTATCAGTCAAAACATAAAAATGCTTTGAAGACGAGATGGAATTGTTTTGTGTATATTTCTATTTAGTTTTCATTGAAGCAAAGATTCTCTAATTATACTTTTTTACTTGCAGGCACCTTATTAGTTAATGAGAGAATGTTGGAATCCTACATAATTGCAAGAGATCGGTTTCTTGTGCCCGATGGGAAAATGTTTCCTTCAATAGGAAGGTAAAAGCTACACCATTGAATCCTTTTGTTTCTCAAGTAATCAAAAAAGTTCTTTATTTCCATGCTTTTAGGACTTTCACTTTCAACAAAGATTTGAATTTTACTTCCGTGGTCTGTGATCTTACTTTACCAGTTCTTTTAAGGAACTATCATGGTAAAACTGGTTAAAGCCGTTTTATGATTGTTGTCATGCCTTCATCCTATGATATCTCTTGGTTATTAATTTTAATATTTTGATTTCATATGCTACTTTCCCCCTTTTTGTCTTAAGGATATGTTGTGTTCGTCGTTAATTTCATTGATTTATGTTTTTTTGATCATCAAGCTGTAAAATGCTTAAGGTCTTTTTCCTTGGGTTAGCCTCATGCTATCTTTATCTTGTAGGATACATATGGCACCTTTCAGTGATGAATATTTATTTGTTGAAATTGCAAATAAGGTATGTATTCGACATTATTTTCCTGCAGCAATATCTGCCTCTTTTATATATTCCTATTCGAAGTTATGCATCTTTGAAGAAAGTTGATCTAAAACATCTCATGACTTGTTAACGTGAATCTTTTCTTCCTCCGGTCTCATTAAGAGAATTACTGAGAAAGTTGCTGTTTGTTGTATGATCCATGTCAGATATTTCCAGACCATTGTATATTATTTTAAAAACAAAGCAACAAGAAACACCGTTGCAACGTTCTATTCATGTATGCTTAGTAATACTTGCTTTCACATGTCAACCCTGGTGTTTTCATTTCAATGTGTATGTCATAAATTATATGGCTGAGATAGTGTTCCAAATCCCTTTTGCATTCCTATATTTGCTATCGATTTTCACATACTATTCCATTTTATTTTTTTGTATTATATCCACTTTTTTCTCTTCCCCCTAACCTGGAAAAGCTTGCAGGCTCTTTTCTGGCAGCAACAAAACTACTATGGTGTTGATCTCACTCCGTTATATGGGTCCGCATTCCAGGGATACTTCTCTCAGGTTTGTTTTATACACAATCTCGTGCAAAAAAATTGTCAATACTTGCCTATAAAATTTCTTTGGCTGTTGTCGTACCGGTCTTTCTTTACATTTTTTGGGTTACTCCATTGACAGTACATTCTGTTTCAACCAAATTTTAATGGAATACCTTTTGCTTTCATATCAGCCTGTGGTGGATGCTTTTGATCCAAGATTATTGGTGTCTCCTCCAATGTCCCATGTAATTGACTTCAATGAAGTAAAGGTATGAGCGAGTCATTGACTCGTGCCTCTTATAAACTATTTAACTCTTCTAGTAAATTCCTCGGCAAATTCCTTGAATCAAAGTTCTGTTTAGCATTCGTTTTCCATGTTACGATTTTCCTAGACAAGGCTGCCTTGCATCATATACCATTGTTTTGTAGGTCGACTTTAATATCCATGGGATATTAGGACCATTTTTCTAAATCATGCAATATTTTCTAACTTAATCAAAGCTGTTTGATTTAGACTTCCTTTCTCTGAATACCGGACTTCGTTAGATGGTTATTAGTTAAACGTTTAGTCAACATTATGTTCGTCTTTTTGCAGGAAGAGGACTTGTATGAAATAGATATCCCATTGAAATTCATAGCATCTGTCGGGACTAGAGTGCATGGGTTGGCCTGTTGGTTTGATGTCCTGTTTAATGGGAGGTAATATTGTCAAATTTTGCATTTTCATCGGTTTACGGTTTCATTCAAAACTTCCGTTGAAATGCTTTATCAACAGCTCTGTGCAAAGATGGCTTACCACTGCCCCCGGTGCTCCTACAACCCACTGGTATCAGATACGATGTGTTCTTTCTCAGCCAATTTACGTAATGGCCGGGCAAGAAATTACAGGCCGACTTCACATGATTGCTCATAATGCTCAAAGTTATACCATATATCTAACAATGTCAGGTTGTTTCGAGCTTGGTTTCTGCGTTTAAATCTGTGGTTTTATTTTGTTTTTTCTAACAAATTATCATCTCTTATAGCTAAAATGTGGGGGCCTGGGGCCGAACAAGGAGGAATTCTTCAGACCTCATCATGCAAACTCGATCTCAAGGAGCCTTACTACAGAATGTCACAGCCCCAACCCTACACAACGGCACAAGACCAGCAACCGCATCAGCTACTACAAGCTCAGGTATCCGCTTATTATCGACTCATCCGAGATTAACGGTTTTCAGGAGTGCATCGCATGCATCTCGAACATTGCTGCTCTGAAACTAATCAACCGATAATAATTGGTTTGCATTTTAACAGGATATACCGATCCACACCGAGGACTTGGATGAACCTGAGTTGCTGCAGCAGCCATTAGAAAATTCAGGAGCTCAGCTCCAATAAGTGATGAAAAAAAGAGTTGAACTTAAGCCAACAAGATTCTAATAGGCATGTGGCTTTTGATCCCTGTAAAGTAGAATCTGACATGATTCATTATTATTATTGATGTTTGAGTGATTGCTTGGGATCTACGGCTTTTATCATGATTTAACCAGTTTTAAAAATCAAATTATGTTCATTTTGGAGGTGTATGAGCCTAATCAAGCCTGTTCGAGTAAATTTTGCAAAATTCGATCATTATCTCAAACAGAATCCAGACTTTAAAACGAGACAACGAATCTCGAGTTGAGCAAAGCCTTGAATTTCAAGTTAAGCTCGAGTTTGCTTGGCTAGCGGATAGTTATTTCTACAATGAATGAAGTTGCTCAACACCATTGAATAAATAGGTTCTATTTTATTGAAGTTTCAGCTCAGAACATCCCACTACAATGAAAATACTAATACGCAGAACTTTTAGAATCAGAGCCAGGATAGACCCATCTGAATGATGGAGGCTGCAATTGGAATAAGAGAAACCAATGCTATATGTAATTGATCCGACCTGCTTGTTTTGATACTGATTTGTCCACTCCGCTTGTTGTTCAATCCGAAGTGAACTACCATGGAAGAACCACGTCCGATAGAGAACTGTGACTGTAAGTTGACCATTAGACCCATATCTCGCTTCCATTTCACCAAAGACAATCCGAATGAGCTCTGATTTTGCTCAACAGGAAAATCCTCATCCTTTAGCCGGATTTCGACGTTAGCTCCATATGCTGTATTGCCTTGGGAACTCATAGCCCCCGCACTTCCAACCAAAAGCAAGCGTTTTCCTACTGCAATGTGATCCTCGATCTTAAGTCCAGTAGCCATATTTTCACCTAGGAAAGTAACCAACAAACCAACAGTTGTTCGGTTTGCTTCGAAATTTCTGAATTTTGTTTCACCCCTGAAGATGTAAGCAAGCTGTTTTCCGACAGTTTGGATGTCAAATCCAGCCATTGCCCATTCTCTCCATGTTTTGCACAGACCGAGGAATCCAAATGGATGTTGAATTCTCTTTTATCCTTTGTGATTTGAACAGCAAATGCACCAGGGAAATAACCTACTATAGCAAGACTTCTTTCAAGGCTAACACCGTCGTACCCGATATCATGATCCCAAGCCTGTGGATCCAAAATTGGCCAAATGAGAAGCTGCGAAGCAGAATTCAAAAACCGGTACCGGTAAGTGGGGTTGTCTCCATCAAACGGAGGGAGGACCGTGTCAGGCAAAGGGGTCTGTATATCTGGATGGCCTTCTTCAGCGTTTCCATCATCTCCGACATAACCATTATTATCACCATCTTCCCTATTCTTCTTAATTTCCCTCATTCTTTTCACCTCCTCTCTCCATTGTTTCTTTTGAAGTAGCTTAACACGATAATCGTACTCCTCGTAGTAAGCTTTTCTCTGCTCTTTGCTAAGTTTATCGACCTGAGATCTCTTTAAAGGCTTGAATGGTGGAAGCTGGTCATATTCATCATTATCTTCTTCATCAGAATATGTAGTCTCTCAACTCAGTATCCAAGTCAACGCCCTCACTCCCATCATTGTTAGGCAGTTTCGGATGAGGATGGGATTGCAGCAGTGAAGACAGTAAGGTAGAGGTGGGGAATGACGTCGGAAGCCAAAAAGCTTCTGGTGATCAAAATGTTGTCGAGGTTTTGACAGAGAACTTGCTTCAGATAAGATCTTCACTGAATAGCACAGGAGTAGCAACTGTGACCTCCAACTTTGCCCATTCGGAAGCAATGTTTCTCCATTACCATCTCTCTGACCTGATGGATGGTTCTCAACAAGAGCCACAGGATGCATCATACTCGGATTCATTAGATGCAGATCACCAACTGCTTGGCAGATAGCTCGATGAATCACATGGGACCTTTGAGCAACAAAAACCTCGAAGCTTAGGGGTTCCCCAAATGGCCCCTCTGGAGAAGCAGATGCAGCATGAGTGAGAGTTACAATGGCATTTTGCCATATTGATGAACCAAGAGAATCAGTAAGAGTCTTCAGTAATAGAACATCAATAAGATCTTTGTCATGCATGTCTAATCGATCAACATAGAGAACAACATCGGGTGGGAACTTCCTCACGTACCTCCTCATCGAAGCTAATAGTTTGCGATTAGTAGCTTCTTCTGTCACAGGTGACCGAAGACCAGGTGTATCAAAGATTCTCATCTTAACTCCATCAACTGTTCCAACAATCTCCTTCACAACTGTTGTTGCCGGTTGAAAAGCATCATTCTGGATTTTTGCTCACACAAAATGGAATTAACGCTTGCACTCTTCCCCACTCCAGTTTTTCCAAGAACCAAAATGTTCAAAGAAAAGTCCAAATCATCTTTATCATCTGCTTCGAGCAGCATTGCAGCTCTATTTGCTGATTCAAGGGTGAATTCTTGACTGAAAAGACTACCTGAGGCAAGGGCCAGCCGGTAAAGCACCTGAGCCACCATTGGATCAGTGTGAGAATGGCCTAGTCTCTGTACAAGTCTCAAGAACTTCACTCTTATTAGTTGCAACTTTTCAAAACTCCGCTTATCTTCATCACTTATCTTGTCCTTCGGTGCACTGTCAACCGTATTTGATGGTGGAGCAACTTTCGGAGAACGCAATGAAGAACCTGAATGAGCAGGTTGGCCAAGAGGAAATACTTTAGAGCCATCACGAGAAGTGATTGTGAGGCCAACACCATCTGATTCGCCACCGGCTGCAGCAGAACTAAGTAGCTCTTTCGCTTCATATTCCCTCTCAGCTTCCGCTTCTTCATCACTTGCTGCAGCTTTCAAAAGAGCAGTCAATGCGGCAGAATCTTGTAGCTCTCTAGCTTCATATTCCCTCTCAGCTTCAGCTTCTTCATCCGAGTGTACGACAATCTGATTACTCTCCGTCTCTAACTGATTCTCCGAATCTACCTCATTCACCACCTGATTGGTTGTTTCGGAGCTCCCAAAAATCAGCTCCACAACATCATCATCAGAAAGGAAACCTTTCTCCGCAACACGCTTAGCCATATCTTCTTCTCCTGGTTTAACACTCTGGTCTATAATTGATATTGGAGCTGAAACTTCAACGGAGAAGATATCACTTGATTCTTTCATATCAGACATGACAATCTCGTCAAAAGATTCCACCATAACAGAACCATTTTCCTCTATCTCATGACCGTTTCCATACTTTGATTCGACCCTCTCCACACCCGGATTTTCTGGTGCAATGCTTGTATCAGCAGAAGGCTTAACATCATCATCTAATTTGGAAAAATCAACCAAAACATCCTTTCTGCTCTCGTCCAAACTAGGCTCTTCACCTCCAAAATCCTCCAAGCCACCCTTTTCAACCTCTGAGTTAACCACAGGTTGAGAATCAAGTTTGGGACTATTGACCATAACAGAACCATTTTCCTCCAAACCATCACCTTGCTTCGGTTCGACCCTCTCCTCACCCGGATTTTCCGTTTCAATGCTTGAATCAGCAGAAGGCTTAACATTCTCATCCAATTTGGAAATTTCAACCAATACATCTTTTTGGCTCCCTTCCAAACCAGACCCCTTATCTTCACCTACGAAATCCTCGAACTCACCATTCTCAATCTCGGAGTTAACCGCAGAAGACGAATTATATCGGTTAACCGACGGCTCCTCTTCTTCAACCCCATAAGCAAACCTTTAATCTAGGTGAACTTTCAACACTACCAGCAACCTTAACCACACCAGAAAACCCACCATCTTCAACTCCGGCCACCGTTTCCTCCTCACTCGACATTTCATCAAACACTTCATCATCCATCGACAACTGAGCAATAGGAACAACAACCTGGTTTGACTTAGAACCATCCACCGAACCAACATCCCCATCATCATCACCATCCTCATCATCCTCATCATCAACATCAACATAAATTTTGTAACTTTCACTAACCCCACCACCATCCCCACCTCCCAACGAAATTTCCCTCCTTGGGTCTTCACCCAAAGGCCCCTCTCGTTCAGAAACAGTATCAAACTCCTCATTACCACTAAAAAAACCGTCACTTTCTTCAGACAAACCCAATTCACTGTTGTTGTCATCAAAGCTATTGAAACTACTACCACCGACGGTGCTCGCCGTTTCGAGACCGTTGGAATCATACTCAGAGTCAGAATCCACGGTTAAAGGAGCTCGGATGAGTAAAGAACCTGTTGGGGTCTCTTTTGTTGAGGGAACAGAGACATTGGATGGGTTTGACTCCATGGAAATGAGCTCTTGTTGTTTGTTTGAGAAGCAAAAAAAAAGAAAAAGAAAGAAGGGATGGTTGGTAAAAGAGATAAAGGAGTAAACAAAAAAACAAAATATTTGTGATTTGATTTGTTTCGATGATGTTTATGTTTGTGTTTCGGTTGGAGACTGGTTGGGTTTTAGGTTGTTTTCGGTGTGGGAAGTGCGAAGAGTGTTATATAATATGAGACAATATTTTTTAAAACATGGATAATTATAGATTTTTCTTGGGTAAACAGCCATATCGGTCACCAAATTATCATTATATTTTATTTTGATCACTGATTTTTTGGTACTATTTTGTTGAGTTTCTCGACTATTGAAAGTTATATAATAGTCTCTCAACTATTCATTATATTCCAAAATCATCATTTTCTGTCAAAAAATTAACAATCGTCTGAGTTAGACATTAACATGCTGACTGAGATATGATAGTCGTTTGAGATGATGAAATCAGATTTTATTATATCTCAGTTAACAAGTTAATGTTCAGCTCAGTCTGTCGTTAATTTTTTAACATAAAAGGACGAGTGACAATTTTGTAACTCTTAATGGTCTAGGGACTCAACAAATTAGTGTCCTATAATTAAAGTACCATTTGTGTACTTTACCCATAAGAATATAACATTAATAACAATTTTACTAAAAAAATAATGATTGAGGTAAATAATAATAATTTAATGATTGAGATTATATTTTTTAAATTAATAATTGGTATCTAATTGATTGACCAACAAATTCATATTGAATTTATAAAAGTTTGTTACGATAACGATCATCTCAATTCAATTTATTCTATTCGTAAACACCATGATTTAAACCATTAATTTTACTTAAAGAATCTAATGTCTCGTCGTACTAGATCAACTAATTATTGATGATTAAGTTTATATTTTAATTTAATATAATTTTATCAAAAAATAATATGATTACTTTGCTTAAATAATTACATTCTTTTTAACTATTTTGATTAAATGATTATATAAATTTCTTTCCTTGAAAAATCTTCATTCCAACTCATTATAGTTTAATTTATTAGATTAATTAATGATATTATGGAAATAAATATACTAAATCATATCAAAATTTAAAGGATAAGGATTCAGTTTTAAATTTAAATATAAATATAAAAAATAATTTAATCGTAATTTTGTTGAATTAAATTTCTTAATTCACGTTTTTATTAAAAAAAATATAAATTAATTTGGTGTGAATGGAGCACATTTGTCTAATCTTAGTATATTATATTGCCCCACGTTTCCGACCTCTTAGCCAATAACATGCATGCTAAATGTGTGGTTCTTCTTCTTAAATTTTAGGGTAAATTTTGTGTTTAGTACCTAAACTATTTGTTTTAGTATGTTTTGATTACTAAACTTTCAGTTTTTTAAAAATTATATCTAAAGTTTAGTTTTTGTTTCATTTTAGTACTCTTTGAACAAAATGTAACGTTAAATTTTTTAAAAAAGTTGAAAAGTTAAGTACTAAATCAAACCAAAACTGATAATTTAGAGAAGCTTCGGATGACTTAACTTATAAGATACATTTCTAATACATGAATGATTTGATAATTAAATATATAAATATATAAATATATATACTTATAATTTGATATGTATATATATATTTAAATTAATCTGGGAAAAGTAAAAGGTAATATGTATTTAAAGATAACTCTTAATCATTTGACATTGAACGCTCACATCCCTATTCATGATGCTCGATCCCGTGAGTTTGAGAAATAAAAATAATTTCTTTACCACCGAGGTCGTTTGATTCGTATATTTTAATATCTTTGGAATTTGAAACGTTAAAAAAAGGGTTTCTGAATTGGGCCAATGGCAACCACCAAGCCTTAAAAGAACGTACCTTTAGGCCTACTAAAACTGAACACAAGAAACCAAAGCTTTGCATTGGGCTTCAATGGCGGCCTCAAAAAAGTAAAAATTCTAAAACCGAAGAAAATAATCCAAATTTCACTCGGCTCTTTGATTGTCTGCCTCTTCTCGCTCGACTGTGAAAATCCATGGCGGGTGCGGTCTCCCTCACACTCTCCTCCGTTCCCAAGCTTTCTCTAAAGCCACTCCTCTGTTCATCACTTTCCACTCCATTTCCCTCTAAGCACAAAAGGCGTAAAAACTATTTGCGCCCCAAAATCCTCACTAAACCTTTCCCTTCTTCCACTTCCGCCATTCCCATAACCCCATTAGAATCTTCACCCGTGAAGAAACCACTCGACGTTGTCGTTTTCGAGCCTCCCTCTGAAGAAATCGATGAATTTGAACAATTTCAGGTTTCTGAGTCATCGGGTGTTACTGGAGAAAACAGTGGTGTTTTTGGTAAATTTTCAGCTCATTCCGTTTTGAAAATTGGGTTTGGTTTTGTTGGCATTTTTGTGTTTCAGACATTAATTTCTGTTTGGATGATGGGAAATCGGAATTCTCAGGATAAAGATGGGAACTTGAATGGTTTCCAGAGGGATAGTAGGAGTAAAAATGGTAAATTTTTGAATAATGGGAAAGTCGGATCAAGTTCAAGTACGAATTTTTATTTTGATGAATCCGAATTGGATGAAAAGGTTAAAGAAATTAGAGCCATGGCTAGGGAAGCACGGGAAATCGAGAAAAAAGAATCGAAAAACGACGAGGAAGAAGGCGACATGCTTGATGAAGCTTTGAATTCTAACTCGAAAATGGGGATCGAAAAAGAGATTGGTGCTAGATTGAATATGTTAGAGAAGAAATTGAATTCTAAGAAAGAGAGCTTTCCAGGGTCGTTTATAGGTTTATTGGATAAGTTAAAGGATGGTGAAGATGCAAAAGATGTTAATAAAAAGTTGTTTGTGAAGAAGAAGTTTAAATTCAGAGGGCCTGAAAAGATTTCTAGCAATGGCGGAAAGGGTTTTTCCGGTTTAAAGAACGGTAGCAAATCGAGCTATGATAATGGTACAGCTACTAGAGTTTCCGGGATTGAGGAAGTGGATGATGGAAAGACAGTAGTGAGTCAAAACTCGGATCCCTTGCCGAGTGATAAAGAGAAGATTGAGGAGAAATTAGGATTGTTGCACGATGACACGAGGTTCAATATCGTTTCTGATAATCTTTGCAATTCTTGACTTAGTAGTAGTTTGAAATGTGAAATCAAGTTTCATGATGGCAAACAAATTGATACAGTTTTTAAACCGAAAATATAGGACTTTTAAGAATGATGCTTTTATTTAAATTTGTTACCTTCTGCAATCAGTTGAATTCGAGTTTATAGTTTTTCTGAGGTTCTTGCAATCATTCGTTATTTGTTAAATTTCTAGTGTTGGTTCAGAGATCAGTGAAGGAAGATTGTCTCCTGAAATTATGAAATCAACGAAGTCGAGAGATTTGAATACACAGAACCTAAAGATATTTAGAAAAGAGAATCAGGAAGCTAAAACCGAATCTGATAAGCACGCTTCGTTGCATACTTCAGAAAGAAGAGATGCTAGCAACAACAAGCCACGAGCTGACAAAGTCGAGGTTAACCAATCAGGCATCAAAACTGATCCATGGTGGCTGAAACTTCCTTATGTCCTAGTATGTAACTTCAACTTTGGCACTTCTATTAATAATTATTCTTTTTCCTGGATGTAATGCCAAGACTCGGGAATTGTTATCATTTGATTAGTTCCCTTCAGTTAGATCCGTATTCCGTACTTAGTTTTCCATGTCACCATTATAATGCCTGGATATTGGAATGTTCTACCTTTCGGGTTGCACTCGCGACTGTTTCCAGGTAATTCTCATGCAACGAGGTGATGATCCGGATGGACTGGGAGGGCTTTTTACCTTCCAAATATCCTCCGAAGATCAGGAAGAGGGTGATACTTATTGCGCTGTTGCATTTGAGGATCGCGGTGATGCCAATAACTTCTGTTATCTTCTTGAATGTTTCTTTGAAGATCTAGGTGATTTCAGTGCTGAAGTTGTTCCTATGTCTGTAAAAGTAAGAACTATAGTACTGTTCCATTAAGACCTAGCTTGTTTACCTTCGTAACCATCCGTGTTTATATTAATAGACACGGTCATTTCTGTTGGCATTGAGGATAAGAACTGTTTAATGCCATACGTTTTCCTTAATTCGTATGACTGATAAAAAAAAACGGAAATTTGCAGGAACTTCGTGAAGTGGCAAAATCTCATGCCAAGGATGTACTTGTTGTTAAGAAGGGGCAGCTTAAGCTTTATGCAGGTCAACCATTTTCCGAGGTTGAGATGGCTTTGCAGTCTATTGCAAACTCGGAATAGGCCGTCCGTGTAAGGAATAAATCAGTTACACACATATTTCCAGGGGTTGAAGACCGAAGCTGATGAACATGTGATGCCACTTCCTGTTGGTTCTCTTCGAGCTTACAGAACACGTCTTGATAAGAAATGTCAGAGACCAGAGTGGTCGAATTACCACATGAACAATCGCTCGGACTGTTGTAGCGCTCATGAAGTACTGTCTCGAAAATTTTGGTACCATTCGATTATTTGATTAGTTAATTCTTCTTCACTTTGTGCTCTGTATCGATACCCGAATCTGAGTATTTATGGAAAATGCTTTAAAAATGTGGATGGAATTCGGAACTTTCACTTAATTCAAGAAGAAATAACATAAAATGTGTTATTCTAAGTCATGTAAAGGCAGCATCTACATGAACCTAAGCTCTACCCACAACCGGGTGAGCTGCTGCTAAAAGCTTTACTCTGAAAACCCTACTAAGAAGAGACAACTTTGATCATAGTCTGAGCCTGAATGGGTGACAAGCTGGTCAGGCAAAAGCTTTGCCAAGCCTCTGGATCCTCAACTCCATTTTCAGTAAATGCCGCCTTGTATACCGAAAACACGATGTTTCTCGCCGCTTCTCTGGCCTCGGGGAGTTTATCACTCAACAAATCCACAGCCAGTTGAAGCAGTGTAACTAACCCGAACTCTTTCATTTCTTCGACGACCTGCAAATGAAAAATCATATGTGATTATAATGTCAAACGAGTGAGACAATGTTGACAACCCATTTTATAAATTGCTAATTACCATCGTGGAAACAGAGTTTGAAACGGAAACAGCAGATTTAGCTCGGACTCTAAGGTTGCGATGGTTAACATATCCGCATAGCTTCTTAAGCAGAGGCAAAGGAGGAATGGAGTTCGCCATTGCTTTCAACGACCTATCTGCTTCTTCACATACAAATTTCTTGTCTTGAGAAGCTTTTAGTAACAATTGCAGTAGCTGTAAACCAAAACCATGAATTTAATTCACCATTTTAACAACTCAAAACAGGAAGTTAGAAACCTCAAAAGAGAACCGGGTACTCACCAACCGATCAAATGCACCGAAATCGGTGATATCGAGCAACTTCTCACCAAATGCATTGAAGATATTGGTAGCAGCCATAATCGAGGTCTTGCAAAGGGCACTTCTCGGGTTACTCATTGCCTTTACCACTACACATATTACCTTCTCTCTGGCATAAACACAAACAGTTTATCAGCATAAAAAACCCATCACCAGAAAATCAAAATGAATATTGAGAATCTTACAAGATTGGAAGCAGTAGTGTGGAGTGATATAAAGAGAAACGCCGAGCGTCATTCAAGGACTCGCAGACCTTAATCCAATCCTTCGACTCTAACCCTTCAACTAAGCTCTGAAATTTTATACCCAAAAAAAAATCAGAAAACATGAATCTGAAACAGGGTTTTACATTAAGTGAAAATGGGAATTACTTGGATTTTGGATTCTGGGTCTTGAAAGGGTTTGAGATTCTCGGAGGATATGTAATCAACGGAGGCCTCAACAGATGGTGGTAAAGGGGCCTTATTCTCGTCATTGACGACACCAAAATCCGACGGTTTTCTCTGGGTTTGAATCGGAATCGACACTTTGGCTTGTTTCTTGGGTCTTTCTGGTGTGGTCGGGAGTGCATTATCAATGGGTCTCAACGCCATTTTTGCTATTAAATCTGGAAAAAGAGTTGATTTTTTTTCGCTGTGATTTTGAGAGGGGTAACGAAGAACGTTTCGGAATTTAAATATTTGAAGAAAGTGGAAAAGAGTCGTTGGACTTCCCATTTTTTAAGCTCTTAACGGTCGAATCCATTAAAGTGGCAGTGATATTCTATACTCGGTTGTATTGTACACACTATTTCCTCATCTGATTGACACGTGGCATGACAAAGAAAATGGACTATAAACATTCTTTTGGATTAATAAATTTAGCGAGGGATTAATTCATAAAAAAAAAATCAAATTTCAGTTGCGAAATGCACAATTATTTGATAAAATTAGACTCAATTTCTTAAGGGTTTGGGTTCCAATTTTGCATTGAGTTCATTGTTTTAATCTCTTATATTCTCATTGATCTGAATCAAATTTGATGTGTTGAAAATAACGTTTCTAAATTTCTTTTGAATTAATCACTGGTATTCGATCTATTGAACGATTTTTCCAAACCAAAGTGCACAGGCAATGGTGAGGGAGAGAAGGCCAAGAGCGTATCCGACAAGCCGTCAAGGGACAATGGGAAGCCGAATGACCAACACAAAAGGCCCTACTAGCCGTGGGAGAAGAACAACGAGCCTTTCAACTGCTATAATTGTGGAGGAAAGCACTTGTGCGGGAACTGTCTCGAGAACGGGAAGGTTGCAGCCATCAAGGAGAAAGATAGTGCAGAGAAGGAAACATTTTGAGTTCCATGGAGGTCAAAAAGGATCGTGCGAAGAAGAGGCTGACGTAATGGCACTATTTTTCAACTCATATCTAACACCGTCAATGCAACAAGTACACATTAGGGATGACAAACGGGCGGGTCGGGTGCGGATACCCCCTCCCCCATCTCCATACCCACCTAATATTTTTCAATTCACCACCCGCCCACCACCTATGATGGGTACAAATTTTCAAATCCACACCCGCCCACGCGGGTACATTTTCAAATCCATCCCCACACCCACTACCTACTAGCGACATACCCATCTAGACCCGCCTGACAACAAACTAATGGGATGTTGGAGTTGGTTCCTAGATAGTTCATGATGGGGTAGCAACACATGCTTCAATTTGTCAGAGGAGTGGCTCTACGAATGTTATAGAGACAGATTGTAGGGAGCATGTAGTCGTAGAGCTGGATTGTTGAGTTGCTTTCGATGTTAATGCTCATAGTGCACCTAATATGGGTTTTGAGGGGCTAAAGAACATGGAAACTGCTGCTTTTGATGTTAATGCATATAGTACGACTAATTTGTGTTTGGATGGGCAGCATGAGCTAAAGAACATGGAAAGTGACGTGGTTAATGGGATTATGGGTTTAATCAAAGAGCCGAATATTTCCCTAATTAAAGACCAAATTAAAGACTAAATATCCTTAATATTTAGTTAAATTATATGTTATATATTATACAATATTAAAATTTATAAATTAGTCTCTAAAATTACACCTAAATTCATAATGGTCCAAAATTTAATAGATATTTAGCTAGGCGGGCGGATGTGGGGTGGGCGGATGCGGGGCGGGCGGATGCGGGGCGGGTAATGTCTCAAACTCATTACCCGCCCACCACCCACAACGGGTACCACTTTATAAATCCACACCCGTCCACTACCTGCTAAAATTATACCCATCCCCGCTCCAATTGGGGCGGATGCGGTGCGGAATCTACGAAACTGTACCCGTTTGCCATCCCTAGTACACATGTTTAACATATGGTTTACGTTAGATCCAACCTGAAATCTACTGCCCAAGTTGTGATTCAATTGACAAAAAAGACATCATTAATATGATAATATTACTTCAAGGACTCAAATAGATCGTTCTAAACTTAAGGACCAATTCAAAATTTGAGACATGATTTAAGGACATCTAGTGCCCTACATAAAACTCTAGTTTGAAACTTAGAATATATGAACCCGAAGCTGGTATGAATTTGATGCTGGCAATGTGCTCAAGGGGGAAACTTTACCAAATAAAACAGACGAGACTGTTAAAAGTTTCAAAGTTTGGCAACCAACTTTGGAAAATGTTTTTTAAAAGTTTGGTAAATGTTTCTTTGAAAAATGTTTTCAAAGTTTGGTAAAATTTTGGTAGATGTTTGTTGAAAATAGGAATAGGTAAATTCACTTTAGTCATTGCACTTTAGGGTATTTTCAAAGATTAGTCCCTAAGTTTCTACTATAAATACCCTTACCCATTTAGCTTCAAAATCATCCCAAAACATTTCTTTCTTCCTATACTAGAGAGCTTTCTTGTGAGTAGTGAGTGTTTTGTAAACACCTGTAAATTTTCTCTCTTAGTAAAAGATCTGCAGCAGCCCGGAGACGTAAGCACAATTGGCTGAACTCCGTTATCAATTTTCGGGTATTATTTTTCCGCTTTTATTTCGCATTCTCACTAATATGGTTATAGGGAAATTACTTGTACTCGGTTTATTTTCCTAACAACTGGTAATCAGAGCTTTTGGTTGTGAATTTTGTCAAATTTTCTGCGAGTTTACTATTCATTACTATTCACGTAAATAGTGAATTTCGTGAATAGTGAAATTCGGTCGGCGATACGAGTTTGTCGACGGTGGTGTTCTAATACACGGTGATTCGCAAGAATTGTCAGAAACGATCCAAACGAAGCCAGATTCGAGTGGGAGCGATGGCTGCAGACGAAGGGAAGGTGAAAATTGAAAAGTTTGATGGTGCGGACTTTGGTTTTTGGAAGATGCAGATTGAAGATTTTTTGTACCAGAAAAATCTATATCAACCTTTCTCAGGAAAGCAACCAGAGGGCATGAAGGATGAAGATTGAGCTCTTCTCGACAGACAAGCCCTTGGAGTTATCCGACTGACGTTATCCCGCAATGTTGCTTTTAACATAGCAAAGGAAAAGACCACGGCGGGTCTTATGGCGGCTCTCTCCAGTATGTACGAGAAGCCATCGGCCTCAAACAAAGTTCATTTGATGAGGCGATTATTCAATTTGCGGATGGCGGAAGGGGCATCGGTGGCACAACACCTAAATGAACTCAACACAATCACAACCCAGTTGAGTTCAGTGGAAATTGAGTTCGATGATGAAGTTCGAGCTTTAATTCTCTTATCATCTCTACCAGACAGTTGGAATGCTACTGTTACAGCAGTCAGCAGTTCGTCGGGAAACAGCAAATTAAAATTCGACGATGTTCGGGATCTGGTATTGAGTAAAGAAATTCGACGAAGAGAATCGGGTGAAGCATCAACCTCCTCAGCCTTGCACACCGAGTCTAGAGGGAGAACTTCAGAAAGAAATTCAAATCGTGGCAGATCAAAATCCAGAAGGGGCAAATCAAGAACAGGAAATAAAGATTTTACCTGTTATAATTGCGGCAAGAAGGGTCACTTCAAAAGAGATTGCCGAGCACTGAAGAAAGATACTGGTGCACAGGAATCTGCCAACGTGACAGAGGAGACAGGTGATGCCATGATTCTAAGCGTCAACAGTCCGATTGAATCATGGATCTTGGATTCAGAGGCATCTTTCCACTCCACCCCATACCAAGAAATCATGGAGAACTATGTCAGTGGTGATTTTGGGAAGGTTCATCTTGCTGATGATGAAACCTTAAAGATCGTCGGAAAAGGAGACATCCGACTAAAGTTGCCAAACCAGACCACCTGGAAGCTGACAGGAGTGAGACATATTCCTGGCCTCAAAAGAAATCTGATTTCTGTTGGACAGCTTGATGGAGAAGGATATAGCACAACTTTTTCAGGCTGTGAATGGAAGATTACCAAAGGAGCACTCGTCATTGCTCGTGGTAAGAAGACTGGTACTCTCTATGTAACCTCAAATTTAGAGAATATCATTGCAGTAGCAGATGCTGATGGAAAATCAAACCTATGGCACCAAAGGCTTGGCCATATGAGCGAGAAAGGAATGAAGATACTTCTGTCAAAAGGGAAGCTGCCGGATCTAAAGAATGTAGATGTCGGACTATGCGAGGATTGCATCTTTGGCAAACAAAAGAAAGTCAGTTTTGCAAAGATTGGCAAGACACCCAAGGCAGAAAGGTTAGAGTTGGTTCATACTGATGTATGGGGACCATCCCCAGTTCCATCTCTTGCAGGCTCACTATATTATGCCACCTTCATCGATGATTCAACAAGGAAGGTGTGGGTTTATTTTCTGAAGAAGAAATCAGAAGTCTTTGATACCTTCAGAAAATAGAAGGCCATGGTGGAAAATGAGACTGGTTTGAAAGTCAAGCGGTTGAGGTCTGACAATGGAGGAGAATACAGAGACAGTAGATTCAAAGATTTCTGCGCAAACAATGGGATCAAGATGGAGACAACAGTTCCCATAACACCGCAGCAGAATGGCGTAGCAGAGCGTATGAACAGAACTCTGAATGAACGTGCCAGAAGCATGAGGATACATGCCGGATTGCCCAAATTTCTATGGGCTGAAGCTATCAACACTGCAGCTTACTTGATCAACCGTGGGCCCTCAGTTCCTTTGGATGGCGGAATACCAGAGGAAGCTTGGAGCAAGAAAGAAATAAACCTTTCATACTTAAGAGTGTTTGGTTGTATTTCTTATGTACACATAAACTCTGCTGAAAGAAGTAAACTTGATGCCAAGTCCAACAAATGCGTCTTTGTTGGTTACGGTGGTGATGAGTTCGGTTACCGGTTTTGGGACTACGAAAATCGAAAGATCATCAGAAGCAGAGACGTCATTTTCAATGAAAATGTGATGTACAAAGATAGGTCAACCGTAGAATCAAGTAATACCGAAGCTGAAACAAAGGAATTTGCTGAGTTCGAGGAGATTTCTGGAAATGATGTTCAGATCAATCCTGAAGCAGTTCAAGAAGAACCAGGCACACCAGAACTGAGACGCTCCTCCAGAATTCCTAAACCAACCCAACGGTATTCTCCTTCTTTACACTACTTGTTGCTGACTGACAATGGTGAACCAGAGTGCTATGATGAAGCAATGCAAGTGGAGGACTCAGTCAAGTGGGAGTCTTCCATGAAAGATGAGATGGACTCGCTTATGTCAAATCAGACATGGGAATTAGCTGAAT